ATTATTAGTTAGCAATTTGTTTTTTTAATTTACATTTTTTGCTTTTAAAAATTTTGTTTTGTTTTGGCTTTTTGGTTAAATAGTTATTAGGAGCAAGGGTAATGTTGTTAATTTATGACTTTTGACATGAATATTTAGTCTTATCAAGTTGGCAAGGGAGGTAAATGAGATTTTAAAAAAATTGAAAGAAGTTGAGTGATATTATGACAAATCTCAGGGGAGGTTTCTGAAATTATCTCATAAATCAAACTTTTAAATGTAGGCATTTTGGTAAATATACCTAAACAAATGTTGCCCTCAATTGTCCCAAAAACTTTAGAAAAAACTACACAATATTTCACATTCCCAAAAAGCCCCTCACGCGGTTGAAATTCAAACCCCCCTTGATCTTTTTTTTTTTTTTTTCGACACAGGAGTGTCCGGGTTAATTCTTACGGGGCCCGACTAATCTCCTGCGGCCCAGGTCCGGCGCCCCAACCGGCCCGAACACGTTAAGTGCGCCGAGGAATCCAGCGGAACGGAGACTCGAACTACTCATTCTTATATAGTATAAGGATTTGGAAGATCTTCTATGTTTTTCCATTTAGAAATTTTTCAAACTAACAAGGTGATAATATACTAAATTTTACAATTCATCTGTGGAAGTTCCATATCTAATCCAGACAAATCCTTTGTATCCTTTTGTCTTGTGGTGATTGTAGATGCAAATTAACCACTCCTTTTTCGTCCACATCTGATTGATCTTCTAGTTGGACTGCAGAACAATAGAATATTGCTGGAGACCATTTAGCTCCTTTAAGCACTGCATCCATATGTAGCCATTGGATTGTAACAGAGGGATTTATGTGAAATGGTTTTTATATTAATTCTATTTAATCGTTCATGGTGAAGATGTTGTGACATTTGTATCTAAGATTATTGTGCTTACAAATTCAGTATATGCCTTCCTTTTATTTTAAGTCCAAAACAAATCTCTGTGTTTCAAAAGTTTTTTAAAAATTTTATTGCATCCAGCTGTAGAACTTTCAAGCAAGGTTTAGACCACGAAGTATTCATAGACTGCAAAAATGCAAAATAACTTGATCATGGTTCTTACTTTGCAAAATAACTTGAATCCGAGCCCGAGGGGTCGGGGTCAGGGTCCGAGGCCGAGCCCGAGCCCGACAGGTCCGAACACCACCACGCTTTCCTGTTCGACCCTTTTTTGGACGAATGGTCTATAAAAAATGAAGAAGAATTGGAGAAATATTATGATGTGGTATTTGATTTGGAGAAGACAGGAGGCCCTTTTTTTAACTGTCTTGAAGACTGGTGGCGTTTTCTACAGGAGTGTTAAGAACAGGGTGAATACTGCTACTATTCACTATATCAAGAAAAATCAAACTGGCTTTAGAGCAGGCAAGATTTTGAATTGCGTTCTCAATGCAGCTGGGGGTGCCAAGCTCTATTTGACCTTTGTGGCCAAGGATTTCAATACTGGTGATGTGCGGGAATTCCATGCGTGTGTGTATGAATCATGAATCTGCTGCTGGGGGTGATACTGACAGGAGGCTCAACCTTTGCAGGCTTAAAATTCCTAAGGAGCCATGCGAGGGTGATGGCAAATAAATGCGTTTGAAGGAGGTTGAATTTCATGATTGACTTGGGAATCGAGTGGATGCTACTCATGTGTGTGGAGATTTGAATCTTTGCTGAAATCACTTGGGAATATTGTCCACTTAGATGCTGAAATTTTTTTGTTGCTGGTTGCTGATTTTGTTTTTGTTGGTGTGGTCGTTGACTCGTAATACTTTGTTGATGATTTGGTCTTTTTGTTTTATGTCTGCGTCTGAGTTTATTTTTTGTGATTAAAAAAAAACATATAATCTATCCTTGATATCTAAACTAAATTTTTATCCATGTTTAATAGTGCCTTATTGTCAAATTATACTTTTTTTTTAACAAAATTTAGTGACATTTTTTTTCCTTTTAAGTCCATAATAGTGTATTGAAGTTTGAAATTTGCAAGTTATAATCATAGAGTATAAAATACATGTAATTAAATGCCTTAATCTATGTTTAAAAAGTTAAAATTTTCCAACTAACAAAACACACATAATTAGTTTTTCTTCATTTCTTCTGCTGTTTCTCTTTGCTAAAAGTTCACTTTAATGCTGGATTAAAAACTTTTAGTACAGTTGTGTTTGGATTGCATTTTTCTAGATTTTTTTGTAGAAAAATTACTGTAGCAATTTGATATACGTGAGGTAAAAAGGTAACTGGAAAATGTGTTCACGGAAAACGTAGCAATTTTTCTTTGAAAAAATGACTGTCCAGTAACAAGTTCCATGGCAATAGTTGGCCAACCTAGACGTAGGATTACAAAATAAAATAAGTTTTTTGTAATTAGAATCTCTTTTCTTGTAATTAATTAAGTTTTCAAATTTGTGCAGTTTTATCTCGTTCTGCATAAAATACACAAATATAAGCCAAAATCTAGGCTGTTTCTTTAATGAAATCATGCTGTCTGATTAGAACACTTGCTCAAGCCTTAAAAAAAAAAAAATAGTATTACGCTAATCAGACTTCATTACAAATAAATATATATTCACATTCCAAATTAAGCAATGCAGTTGGCTGCCATTTTAAGAGGGCAATGACCATCTGGAACTGGAATGTGACTAAATTCTCTACAATATAGACAAAGTCCAGCTAAACCAAAGTCCGTAGATGTCAAAAACAGTTTTGTTTGTGTCTCCTTTTATTCATGCGAAAATCCTACAATAACATGGCAAAATATTTTAGGGTTAATAACACTTTGCCTCCCCGAATCTATGGGGTGGTAACACTTTACCACTCTGTACTTCAAAAAATATATATATTTGCCCCCCAAATGATTATGCTTTGTACTTTTAATTTTTGACAACTCATGTGCATGTTTTTCATCTCAAATTACCCCCAAGCTTCCTAATTTTTCAAAAGTCAACTTTTATATTGTTGTATTTTCCTTTATTATATTCACCATGATATTCTTTTATTGCATGCTATGTTATTGGATTATAGTATAAATTAAATAAAACCCCCCCCCCCCCAACTGCCACCTTATCCTCGCTCTTTTTCACTACCCTATTGGTGCTCCCATTGTGACCACTACTATTTCTTATTTGATATAATTTTTTTAAAATATATATAACATTAATAATAATCACAATTATCAGTCTTTTAAATATTTAGCCAAAAATAACTGCAATTATTAGTCATTTTTTCACATTTGATACTATGCAAAATCTAAATCAATATTTGTGGATTTTTTTTTTACAAACAATATGCAACGTGTGACAAATAAAAAGTCAAGCAAATTGATATAACAAAATCATACTTTACTACAAACATAAAAAATTGTCAAGAAAGGCTACACTATTTTATCACAATAAAATACCATTTTGTTAATTTTAAATTACAATGTATACATACATATTAGTACTATAATACATTATATATAAAGTGGGGGCAGGCTGTCGGTGGTGTCCTATTTATATCGATGCTAAATTATACATAAGTCTACACAACGAGTTAATGAAATTACTGTCAAACATCACGTCATGTAGTGGCATAATATTTAATGAATATATAATAAGTAAATGTAACAAACTAAAAGTTGACCATTGAGAAAATATGAAGACAGGAGGTAATTTGGAAAGAAAAATTTGCACATGGGTTTGAAAAGTACAAATATAATTCACTTGGGGGTGCAAAATATATATTTTTAAAATTCAGGGTGGTCAAGTGTTACTGCTCCATAGGTTTGTATGTATTTTTTTGGGGGGGGGGGGGGTTGATGTTATTAACCCAGTTTTTTATTTTCTCAACTTAGAACCTGAATTTGAATCCTAATGAAGCCCAACTGATCTTCTTTTCCATCTTGTTCTTAAAAGCTTCATGAAACTCTTTCAAAGTTGAATGATGATTTAGTCAAAAGGAGACATCATGGCTAAGAGAATTCATTTTGATCCTCCTTCGGATGGATTTTTAGACTTCCAAACTGCAGATGATTACTGCACATCATACTCTTTACCATTCTGGATGTGTAGATCACCAACAGATTCTGTCTATGAACTTTCTCATTTGCTCTCACCCAACCATTCAACATCTTCTCCATCGTCCTCAAGATTTCAAGCAAACGAAGATGGTAGAGAAGTGCTGATGGAGCTAATAGAAAACATGCCTGAGTCATCCTACGAATTGTCCCTCAGAGACATTATAGATTACCAGCAAAACCTCGAAGAAGAGGCACAAGAGGAGCTGATGATCATGGAAAGAGATTCAGTCCCTAACGCTAAGGTTGTCGTGAAAAAGAATACAAATTCGAGCACAAGAGTTCAATCCTCACAAAGCGGAAGCAATAGTATGAACATCAGAGTTTTCTTGTTAAAGATATTCATCCCAGTGCCTCTTGGTTTCAAGGCAAAGGGAGGCAATAAAAGAAGTTCCTCAAGGATTACTTCAAGATCATCATTTGATGGATCTGAGAAACCAATGGCAAAGGTTCGGTACACGATCGTCCTCAAGATTTCAAGCAAACGAAGATGGTAGAGAAGTGCTGATGGAGCTAATAGAAAACATGCCTGAGTCATCCTACGAATTGTCCCTCAGAGACATTATAGATTACCAGCAAAACCTCGAAGAAGAGGCACAAGAGGAGCTGATGATCATGGAAAGAGATTCAGTCCCTAACGCTAAGGTTGTCGTGAAAAAGAATACAAATTCGAGCACAAGAGTTCAATCCTCACAAAGCGGAAGCAATAGTATGAACATCAGAGTTTTCTTGTTAAAGATATTCATCCCAGTGCCTCTTGGTTTCAAGGCAAAGGGAGGCAATAAAAGAAGTTCCTCAAGGATTACTTCAAGATCATCATTTGATGGATCTGAGAAACCAATGGCAAAGGTTCGGTACACGATCGTCCTCAAGATTTCAAGCAAACGAAGATGGTAGAGAAGTGCTGATGGAGCTAATAGAAAACATGCCTGAGTCATCCTACGAATTGTCCCTCAGAGACATTATAGATTACCAGCAAAACCTCGAAGAAGAGGCACAAGAGGAGCTGATGATCATGGAAAGAGATTCAGTCCCTAACGCTAAGGTTGTCGTGAAAAAGAATACAAATTCGAGCACAAGAGTTCAATCCTCACAAAGCGGAAGCAATAGTATGAACATCAGAGTTTTCTTGTTAAAGATATTCATCCCAGTGCCTCTTGGTTTCAAGGCAAAGGGAGGCAATAAAAGAAGTTCCTCAAGGATTACTTCAAGATCATCATTTGATGGATCTGAGAAACCAATGGCAAAGGTTCGGTACACGATGAAAATGGCCTTTTCAAAGAAAAGGGATAGCAAGAAATGTGAGAGTTTGAACAAAAGCATAAATAGCAATAGAACCAGCAAAAGCAGGTAATTTCCAGCAATATTCCTTGTGAAAACCAATGGTTTTTTTTTTTTTTTTTTTTTTTTTTGTAGTTTCATGGCACTGAATTTACACCATGCCTTGAAATAACATTAACTCATCGTTTATAGCAAGTCATTAGATGTCTGAAGTAGTACAATTTGGAAGTATATTGGATTTTCTTGGTGAAAGTTGAAATGATTAAATTGGTTTTAGGGGTCAAATGTTTTGTTACCTTGTAATATCTGAAATCAGAGCTGCAATTTACCTAATGAAACATAAACTAAAGCTTGAAGAAAACAAGTTTTACGCTTGTTGATAGTCTCTTTCAGGATGTCATATGGGTTATAATTAAGCATAGCAAAATTCTATAGCAAATTCGCTGTCACATATGTATCAAACAGAAAAACGGGCATCATAAGTTTGGGGCCAGAATATCCTATATCACTAGGTGAAACTATGTAGTACAAAACAAAAGCATTAACTATATATAGTGTGCAAATGTACAGAACATTAAATTAATTTTGTCTATTAGTGATGCAAATTAGAATTCTGGTATGTACCTTTCAGAGTTATTTCTATTCAATTTAAGCCAAAAACTGCAATGAAAGTGCTCAAGTTTTTGTACTCTTTCCATCCCACTAACATTGTCAAGTTTTATTTATTCAATTGAATTTCTCAATCTTCAAAACTCTATATGTTCTTTTCATATTTTTTATGTTTTTTCTGAATTCCGAATTTCTATGTTTGTAGGGCTTCACGCCCTACTTAGTAAAATAATAAAAAGAAATATTGTATATAGTCATATTATATGAATTATTTCTCAAAAGTACGATTAAAGTTTCAGCTTATAAAATAAGCCTGGCAAAATTACACATAAATAACAGTATAGAATGATGCCAATAAGTTTGAAAAGAATCGAACTAAAATTATGCTTTCATTTACTATGATTTTTAGATGTTAAACTATAATAATATTAGTTTTAATTCACTCATAATATTTGGATGAGATATTATGTTATCGTGTTTTATCAAAAGTTTTTAATTATATATATGCATATAGATGGAAAAGGTTACCATGTAAGTCTTTTTTTTTTTTACATATCTCATAAGATACATATTTGTTGCAACAAAGATTTTAAAATATTGTCATAAATTTAAGTATTATTCGTGAGGTATAATACATGAAAAATTTATTATTCATTTCTTAAATCCCACTCTTCCTTTCTAGAAAAGAATTTAAAAGAAAAAACTTGTTTTATACTTTTGCAGAAAAGTATAAATATTTTTAGAGCATTTAAAAAATACACATAACACAAGAGTTCTTTCGAATTATATTTACCAACGTCTACTAGTTAGTCGAGTATAATATGAATATTTACTAAATGTAATTAATAGATTGCATGCATGAAAACTTTACTATGGTCAAATTAATTACTTCTGAAATTTATATAAATGAATATATGCCATTTATTACACGCTATTGAATACATGAAAAGTCTCACCATTAAACAAACTTTTTCATTTGCTGTGCAGCGTGGTGAAGACCAACTCTCTATCTTGTTGGCAGTTCCTCAGCAGAAAAGTTTCAAACTAAAGTAGCCACGAATAATGACAGATCTCTTTCTTGTCGCAGATACAGTATAGCTCAATCTTTGGAGACAAGACTAAGTCCAACCCCAACCCCTTAATTTTTTTGACAATGTTATTAGTTCAATAAAGTTTCAATGATTTATTTTCTCGCATAGTTTGTGTGAAATGTATAAGACTTTCTGCATATTTCATTTAGATCTTATAAGATCTTATTGGAAACTGAAATTAAACTCAAGTAGCTAGTGCAAGATATATTTGGAATTACTAGAAAACTTAATTAATATGTGGTTTGCATATATATAGTTGCTTCAATGGAGTGTAAATATATGAAATAGACCATGCAACCATTGACCATTTGAGACAAATGGTAACGTTTTATGTTTCATGATCCATATATAGTTGTACATTCCTAAATGCTAGTTTATTACACAGGTTAAGCCAAATTCTTCGTTTCGTGTTATTTGTTAAAAGCCAAATTTGAGTGTTGTTTATTGGTTCTAGTTTTATTACATAGTTTAAGCCAAGTTATTTTGTTTCGTGTTAATTACTTGTTAGAATTCAATTTCCAATGGAAACCTGGTTTTATTCATAGCTTATTACTTGTATATATTGTAATATTCACAGATACATGCACATAAACAAAGTTGGCTTTTAAAATATTGGCAAATCTAAAGGCCTGTATTTGAAGGTTCAATTGGATTCTGAAGGAAAAAGCTTGAATTTTACAAGAAAGAAAAGAATTTGAACTTCAATTTTCTAATTGATTGATATGTGTTCACGTATACTTACTATACACAAAGAAAAGGTCAATCCACAAAATTCCAAGTTGCATGCAAGATTGATCAAATAGCCTATAAACACATGATCTCAACGCCTGGTTCAATAGAAAGATATTTTTAAGACCTCTGGCTCAATAGTCTAATCTCAACACATGATCTGTTATATATCATGAATACTTAAAATGGACGTCTAAGAAAAGTTACTCAAAGTAATAAAATAGTCCGGTAGTTCATTTGGACTTCTAACGCTATTATCAACCTGTTTGAAATCCTCAATTATTGATTCCCAATCTTTTCAAAGAGTACTATAATCTAATCCCTTATTAATTCAAACATTCGTGGTCAACACAAATTAATACCAAATTGACTAAATGGTAAAGAAATCCACTCAGAAGAAGAAAATTTTGGATGAAGAAAACAAATGTAGATGGTTGCCAATTGCCATTTCAAAAGGGCAATGACCATCTAGAAACAAGAATTGACAAATTGCTCTAAAGAGTAAATTAGTCCAACAAACCCAACGTACACGCCAAACCGGTGCTGTTTGCATCTCCTTTTAGCCACACAAAAAACCCACATTAACAGGAAATAAACTTTTACACACACACACACACACATATATAGTTCTCTTCCTAGAACCAGAATTCGATTCTTGAAGCCCAATTGATCTTCTTTCCCATCTTGCTGTCTCTCTAAAATTACCAGCTAAGGATTGATACTTTGACTCAAGAAAATCTTTGAATGATTTAGTACTAGAGGGAGGTACGATGAACGGGAGAATTTGTCTTGACTCTCCTTCAAATGATAATCTAGAGTTCCAAACTCAAAAATTCCATGCAGATGGTTATTGGACATCAAATTCTATACCGTACTGGATGAGTAGATCGTCCACAGATTCTGACAATGAGGCTTCTCATTTGCTCTCCAACGATTGTAGTACATCTTCTCCACCCTCCTCAAGATATCGAGCAATCGAAGATGGTAGAAAGGTGCTCATGGACCTGATGGAGAACATGCCCGAGTCATCCTATGAATTGACCCTCAGAGACATTGTAGATGAGCAGCAAAACCTGGAAAAAGAAGCACGAAAGGAGACGATGGTCGCGGATAAACCTTTAGTCCATAAGCCTTATGAAGTCAATTCGAAAAAGGATAAAACTGTAATCACTAGCATGAACAGCAGAGTTTTCTTGTTAAAGATATTCATCCCAGTTCCTCTTGCTTTGAAGGCAAAGGCAGTCAAGAAAAGAAGTTCCTCAAGGATTATTTCATCTCCGTCATTTGATGGATCTGAGAAACTAATGGCTAAGGATCGGTGCAAGAAAAGGATGGCATTTTCAGAGAAAAGGGATAGAAAGAAATGTGATAGCATCAGCAAAGGCAGGTAAATTTCAATTCATATTCAACTTATTCCGTACTTCCTACTTCCTAGTGTATATATTGGCGATTGGTCAGTCCCATGAATTCTAGTTTCAAGTAATTTAGTACTATATGCTTTTGTGAATTTAATTCTTAGCATCCCATTAGATATTTGAAACAGTACAATTTTGGAAAAAAGAAGAATGAACTGTCCTAACTATTTGAAACTTAAGGATCAGCGATATTGCCTTGCAATATCAGGAATTAATAGAGCTGCAATTTGCCCAACGAATATAAAAATAAAAGCATAGACAGCCACTACAATTGGTCAAAGGAGAGTTTTTAAAGTCTTTCCATCTCTAAATTCAACGTTTGAATCCTGTGCCTAATAGTTGAGAATGAGAATAATGTCATGAGCGGTTGGGGGGGGGGTAAAAAAGGGGCAAAGTGTGGACAAACACAATTATAACACTTGTTGACTCAAAAAAAAAGGTAAAACACTTGTTGATAGTCTTTCAAGATATGAGTAATATTTGGCAAACCAATATTCTCTAGCAAATGAGCTATCAAATATGTATCAAACAGACAATCGAGAAAAGAAAATTCCAGCATCATGGATTTTGAGAGAGAGTTTATAATATTACCAGGTTAAACTTCAAATTTTGAGTGTCCAAATTTACAGAACTTCAAATTATGTCTATTAGTGATGTACATTGGAATTTTTGAATGGGGGGGGGGGTTTAGAAAATTTTCATCTATACATTTTAGAGCTAGCAATTGCACACGAAAGTGTTAAAACTCCCTCCATCTCATTAATTTTGTCACTTTTCTCGTTAAAATTTGTTAAATTTCAAAGCCATATATATATATATATATATATAGTTTAACTTTTTTGAAAAATTGAAATATTCTTTGGGTGGTGCTCCATGAAAACTTTAATATGGTGTAGTCATATTTCTTGAAGATATATGCATATCAACACACGATATTGGTTGACCAAAAACCAAAAAGTAGGAGGTCATGAATGGGACTAGGACACGGGGAGTATTTTATGAAATGGCAAACTTGAGAATGTAATATCATCATTAAACAAATTCCTAAACTTGGATTTATTGTGCAGGGATGTTGAGACAACCTACGTATCTTGTTGGCAGTTATTCAGCAGGACAAGCTCCAAACGGAGACCCAAAGATTCCTGTTTGATGGACAATTAGAAGATGTGTATTAGCATTACATAATTGAGTCTAATTCCTGTACGGTCAAGTGGTAATAATTTGCTTTGATTTGCACCGAACGTGTGCGTCAAATGTATAAAACTTCTGCGCTTTAAGCACATTGGAATTAGAGTCAAGTGCTGTAATTTATATGTTGCACTAGCATTAGCTAGGGAAGTAATATGTGGGTTGCATCAATGTTATTTCAGCGAGTAATTGGCAATGTAGATATATGACTGTCAATTGCTAGTACACAAATTATTAAATAGGCTAGAGACAAGAAATTTTTGGGTGGTCATATGCCACCACAGATCATGTTAAACAAATGGGAGGAGGGGCAGGAACGGTCACCGTTACTGAAGATTCATGGCTAAGATTTAGCCAAAAAAAGAATGTAAGATATAGATTATATTTTATACATCGTTTTTTCACATCATGTGTGAGATTCATAAAATTTTATTCTATAATTACACATTGTTGAAAATGAATTACACCGTATGTATACAGAGTTAAATACTGTGCATTTTGTACAAAACCTTCAGCAATGGTTGCTTTTGCAATTGTTCCTTGCCCCTGTCCAAACAAATGTAGACGTGACGGTTTAAGTTTCACGGTTCCTTTTTCTTTTTATTTTTTTTGGGCAAACTCAATCTACAGGGTGGGATATCAATCCAGCTTTTAATGAAAGATATAAAATCCTACCCTCCCAATAATTTGCATATGCAAAAATATAACTCTCGGAATCCTACTCCCTAATCGGAATAGGACTATGTAACTGTTGGTCCAAAAAGGTCTATGCAATTGTTACAGTTCCGACAGACAGCAATA